CCCAATCGATGTTTTATTTAAAGGCATGTTCAAAGTATTTTACCATAGAGGTGGGAGAAAGGTTCTTGGCAGAGACAACAACCCTGTCTACCCGTAGGGTCAGCAGGTATGGGAATGCAGGGAAGGATGCCTGAGTGAATGGCTGACCGAAGAACTACACCATCAGAGTGCAATGAGGAGCAGCTCCCTCACGTGGGAATGTAGGCCTTGGGTTGTCACGCCCTCCCTCTTTTCAAGAGTAGACATTTGAATTTTCATATGAAGTATCCATCTTGTTAGTGTTGGTAGGACCAAAAAAAATATTTTTTTTTACATTCCAGGACAGGCCTCACACCCAGGAGTAGTCATCCAATACAAACTGGACTTGATGGGTTGAAGACTGAGAGAGAAAGGAGGAAGGGAGGGAGAGAGGATGGGAAAAAGAAAGGGACGAAGGGAAGGAGAGAGAGCACATGAGACTGGGGAGAATATCTGGGAAAAGTATAGAGGAGGGGATGGATATGACTAAAATACACTGCATGAAATAACCAACATTGTTTGGGACAATGAAAGCAGTCTGTAACAGATTTCTCTAGAAGGAAACAAGAAAGAGAAGGCAGAAGAATCAGTATACTTCTTAGATTTATTTTTAAGGCATAAGATTTTAAACTGAATTTAGCATCTTTTCCTACAGTGCCAGCATGCTACAATAGGGTAAACCAGCAGTTTAGGAGATGCCTCAAATCTTTCAATATTTACTTAAAGTCTACTTCCCCATGCTAGGCAATACACAGGCTGGTAAGAACACAAAGAAAACACTGTCTCTGCTTTCAGAGTTTACAGACCGTGGAAAGAAGTATATCAGGAGTTTACAATACCATGTATTAAATAGAGCCTATCACAAAGATATGTAAAAAGGACAAAGGGAGGAGGAGGAGGAAAACATTCCTCCTCCCAGGAGATTGAGAGGAATTCTCAGAGGAGAGATCTCTTTCGGTGTTGCTTCATACTGTGAGGCCCAGACTATTAAACACTTAATAAGATATGCTGAGTAATTAGATTTTTTATTCTAGCAGAAACAAAAGGGCACTAAGAATTATTCACAAAAGAGCAATATGGTTGGGCCATCATCACCATCATCATCATCATCATCATCATCATCATCATCATCATCATCATCATCATCATCAATGTAGTGGCAGCAGAGTGACATAAGATGTAGAGGAGGCAGAGTAGACAGGGAAGAACTGCGGACAATGATTTAAGTAATTCAGCCCATTAGGAAGTAGCAAGAACATGAAGAAAGGCTAGTTGGTTAAAAAGATAATGTTATGGCTACAGAAGCTCCACTTTATGGTAGGCATCCATCTTGGTACCCACCAGCCATCTGTCTCTGACTTCAGTCCTTGAAAGATAAGTTCCCAGTAACCCTGACTCAATGACCTCCACCCAAAAATGTACAGCCATGACCATCTACTTGCTATGATATAACTAACTGCTTTTATTTTTTTTTTGCTTATGCAGATACCCAAATATTGTTTTGAGTTGCCCTAACCACTTAACTTGGCAGAACAGAACAATTTTTACTTGCATGCATAGATATTGAAGGTCTTCATGTGGTTTTCCCCTTTAAAAGTCCTTCCTTATACCCTCTTTCATGGTAAGCACACATTTGGCTCAGAGATTGTTCATTCTGCTAGCAGCTAATCACTAAATCTTTTTACTTATAATTGGATTGAGTCTATGGTCTTTCCATAGAAGTCACAAACTTCATAACAGTAACTAGAGGACAGAAACAAAATGAAAGAACCTGGTGGCTGGCTTACCCTCAGAGGGGGAGGTAGCAGAAATGAGAGCAGGAGGAGAGAGAAAGCTGGGAACCAAAGCAAGCAGTAGTCTCTGGAGCCAGGTTACTTGAGGTCAAATGTTCTCTCACACTAATTTTCTCTGTTGCTTCAGGCAAGTTCCTTAAGCTCTCTGAATCTCTTTTTAGTATATATGCCAAATGATCATGTGACAATCTTGTACATTTGTGCCTGATACTTCCTACTATTATCCTTACTGTAATTCCAGTTAGGGTGGTGGCATTATCTAGTGTGTGTGTGTGTGTGTGTGTGTGTGTGTGTGTGTGTGTGTGTGTGTTCGAGGACCAAATATCCCATTTGTTGTGCTTCTGTCTTCCATAGTGATAGGGTGAGCACACTGGCATCTGCTATGCTTTAAAACAGTCTAGGTTGGCGTGGGTTTATGTACGGCTCACAGATTGCCAAGGAAGCTCCCTTAGCATAGTGAAGATGGTAAAGCCCTTGATGCATATGAGATTGTCTACCGTCCCTTCAAGGGTGGGGCTAGTGTTGGAGGCTCTACGATAGGAATGTTAGATGAGCATCTCTTAGATGTGTGATAGGAAGCCGAGAAGGCAAAATTCACAGAGGTTCATTAAGAAAGAAGGACAGAAAAATTGGAGGGATTAAAAAAAAACAGAAGAAAGGTGTCTATAAGAACAGCCCACAGAAATTACAACAGAGGAGGCAGGTGGAGGTATAACTGAACACACCTATCTCACAGTTAGAAAATCTTGAATGAAATAATCTAACATGACTATGGTATCTCTCAGCGTGCTTTTCATTATCTTGACTTTAAATCCAGTTCTAGAGATAGAAGAAGGAACAGGGGCTTCTGGGGGAGAAAATCATATCTATTTCCAGAAGTTACAGGTTTAAAGACGTTGAATTCAGATCTTCCTTATAATTCAGTTATGTTAAGTGACATAAGTATGGCTTTGCAAATCAGTGAAGTTAAAAAGGATCTGTTTCTATTGTTTACATTTTGGTACAAGAACAAACTGTATTCCTTCTTTCTTCTAACTTTCCTGAAGAACCAGGGCTGACAACAAGCAGCAATGTTCAACAATAGGACATCTATGTCTACAGGTCCTCCTTGCTGCAATTGCTTTTCCTGCCACTTCTACTTTGACTCTGAAACCTCAGGGATGAAGCGTAAATGCAGACTTCATTTGAAGAGAAATACAGACATTTCCAAAATGTCTCCTGTTACAAATAACATTGTTATTACAAAAAGTCTGATGATTTTGGCGGTATAGAATATAAAGTGAAAATGTTGAGCAAGTTGGCTTTGGACTCTACCACTTCTCAGGTATGAGGGCCTGAGAACCTTCCTGTTTTGAGCCTCCATTTGCTTCCTCCTATGGAAAGGGCAACATTAACTCTGGATTCTTTTAAATAGTGGGCCCCTTCGGACAAATAGTGGGTTCATAATATTTTTACCTTTCAATGCTTCAGAGTAGAAGAGATTGAAAAAGAATGAGACATGCATTTTTTTAAAGTCTTTGAGAAGGATTTATTGTTTCTTACAACAGGAAAAACACTGGCATTCTTCCTATCAGTGTAACTGTCCATTTACAGAAGACCTAGTGGGCCTGAGCCATACTTCTCCTAGCTCCAGGGCCAAGTAAGCTTTGTGCTTTTCATCAGCTTACCAATGTAACACATGACTCATTAAACAAAGTCCCTCAAAATCTAAACCAAGCTAACTACCAGAGGCTTACACATAAGCCATAGCCTAATGATGAGCCCAAGGGAACTGTATCACCTCCCCAAATGTTCTTGGCCATTGGGTGTTTTTCAAAAATAAAAAGACAAGTATTGCTAAAGCCATAATTGCTCCTCTTTTATTTTACATGAAATAACAGCAAAATAAATTCATGGGATAGAGTGAAACTGTCCAGTCATGAAGAGAAGACGGTTTTAAATCCACCACCTAAATTTTCAAATGACATAGTGGTGTTTCATCTGGAATTTAAAATCAAATAAAAGAAAGGCTGGAAATACCCTGACCTGCTATTAACTTCGCATTTTTTTAAGATTACTATGCTTTGCTATTGGCAAGATAGTCGTTAAAAATTCAACACAGAGTTAAGCAGTAAAATTGGATCCCATAAAGTATGATGATAGTATTGTGGATCTTAAAACCCCCTGTGCAGATGTTCCTAATCAGACTGAAAACACAAATACACAAACCAGTTTGTTCCAGCTACAGAATAATTTCATTAAAAGCATACTTATAATTGAACAGAATAAATAATAATTAAAGCCAGGGAAGTAGTGAGACTGCATGGAAATATAATCACAGAAAATCTTTGCCAAGAAAACCATTCCAAAGTTTTAAAGCTGGAGAGTTGAGAAATCGGTTCTTTTCCTGGCTACAGGTAGAAAATTATTACCTGAGTTAGCCAAAACCCAGTGAACATATCTTTAGGGAAAGCGTGCGTGCGCGCGCACACACACACACACACACACACACACACACACGAGTGTAGACCTAATTACCCAGAATGTCGTTTTTTAACCTCCTCTGGGAACATTAGAAGTCCGATTTGCCGTGTTCCATTTTTCATTGAAATGTAAGTGCTATAGGAAATACACTGCAGAAGTAAACAGCCACACGCAGCCCGCACAAGCTCCGAGGACATAGGATTCTCTTTGCAAATAGTCATCTTGGCAATAAGCCTCCTTTATGTACAAAAGGCTTTGTTCCCTGCTTTATAGCAAGTCCCAGGGCTACAGCAGGTAACTCTGTGCTGCTAAGTAGGCTCAAAAGCAATTGTATTCAAAACAGGAAATATTTTATAGCTTGATTCGATGAAGGGAGGAAGTTATGTCAGCACACTTAAATTATAAGAGCTCGTTTCCCCACAATTACTGAACTTCTACCCTGAACCATTATGAACTTTAACATTGCAAAATACGTAATTCCATTCAAGGGTTGGTGCTTAATTGCTTAATTCCTAGCCGGGGGTGGGAGGGGGGGGGAAAGTAATTTTAAAAGCAATTAGGAAAATCTTACACAGAAGCATCTACTCTGCTTATTTTCCTAGCATTAATATCCATTTCATTAGAAGTCTGTTCACTAGCTAAACTGTTGCCCCCAGATCATAATTCCCACCCAAGAAGCAAAGTAACATCTATTCTGCATAAAACTGTAAACCCAAATGCACTTACCTTGTGTCACCTGTTGAACTGCCAACATTACCCCAGACACAGTGTCTGGGAGCAGGTTTTCCCTCAGATTGTACTGTGGTGCCCATTCCAAAATAGGTAGGCGCCTTTTACACCACTGTTTAATGTCTTCACAGTGGGGGGTATGCATCTTGCCCCACAGCGCGCTTTTCTTCTTCCTCTTTGCTCCTGTCATTTTTCAGATTCCCTCCTGTAGTAGTCAACTTCTTCAGACAAGGGAGAGAAAAAAAAACATCGTTGGAGAACACCTCCTTTCAATGTCAGGCTCCAATTCGTCTGTGGTTTACAATGTCAAAGCTATCCAGAAAATAAATAAGTGGGAGAGGGAGAGAGGAGAAAGAGAGAGTAAGAGAGAGAGAAGGGAGAGAGAGAGAGAGAGGCAGAAACACAAATGGATGCAACTCAGCTGTATACCTTACTATGGTTCAGCTAATTATTCTAGATAAAAATTACAGACTCAAACCTTGAATTCTTATCTGAATAAGGAATGGTTCCTGTTAGTGTAATACTTTTCTGATCTTGGAAAAGTAATGGGCTCAGTAGTGAGATGGTTACAGTTCCCTTGCCAGTAATTCCCTTTATATTCACTGTCGTCTTATGTTTTTGGCTGCATTCCCAATGGTTAATGAGGTGGTTCTGGGCGTGTGTTGGAAGTGGGCTGGGCTATGCTAATGAAACCAGGAAACATCGGGCCAGCCGGTGTCTCTCTATAAGCCAAAGCTAAGTCATGACTGTCAGAGGGATCTGCTGTACAGAATATGCTAAGAGACCACAGACACTCTTCTTTGTGAGGTGTGCATTTCAACATGACTGAAAATTGCCAATTCCATAACATTTAGAAACATGATAGGGTCCAACATGGATTCTTGTCATTCTATTCTCTGGGACATGAAGTTTTCATTCACACAGAAAACAGTCAGATAACCACTGTGCCACCTGAGAAAGGACTAGCCAGTTCTTCTAAACAAACTGAAATTTCATCTGTTGGCCTAAGGAAATAAGCACCATAACGAGCAAATATTTGTGGCTGGAGTTTATTTTCCTTCCTGTCTCTGCTCATTCACTTTTCACTGATTGTTTCTGTAAGGTTTTAATCAGCACACTTATGTCATTGTAAGTAAAATTTATTGAGAAATTCAGTACCATTAAAACTATTGTTTGAAGTGGCATGTGTGTGTGTGTGTGTGTGTGTGTGTGTGTGTGTGTAATACTGTCTTTTGTTGACATAACTTTTAGTAGAGTGTTCTCCTTTTAAAAATGAGTGTTACGTTTCATAACAGAACAGACTGTCAAAGATTTTATTGTATTATTGTTTCCCACAGCCTCCAGAAGAGTAAGCCTGTATTATGATCTGAACCATTGGAATTAACCCAAAAAGCCAATATTCTAACTAAAACTGTGAAGCCAAAAAAAAGAAAAGCATGAGGGTAGTTATTTGCAGCGCTTTCTAACATCCATTTGTCCAGAAACTAGAAATCAGATGCTGGAAGCTATTACAACCGTAAAGAATTTAGATCCTTGGATCCTCTAAAGGAACTCTTTCTCCCATTAATTACATTAAGGGGAAAAGCTACTTCCTCAGCTTCAAAAATATGACATCCTTTGCTTTGGAATACTTGCAATACTTTTAATACTTGACAACACTTCTTTTCAAATTCCATGAATCCTAAATATATAGAGAAATGTACATTTTATATGAATGTATGGGATTTATTCTATATCTTTCCAATATTTATATCACATTAAATTTCTAACACTTCGATAAATTTCTAACTCAGGATCAGGCCAAAGGTTTGTAGAAAAAGAATCTTTATTATGGCTGAGATGAAGTTCAGTGGCAGAGTTTTTGCCTAGCATGCATGAGATCCTTGGTTCACTCCCCAGCAAAACAAAGAGGGGAAAGAGAGAGGAGAAATCTCATTCGAAGAGGATGCTGCATAATGTAGCATTATTATTTGCTATAAAAATAGCCTGAGAAGATAAATGCAAATTCACACAATAGAAAGTGAAGGTTGGCAATCCTTGGTGAATGGAAGCCTCTCCCTTTGCTGAATGTACTCTACGCCACATATGTGCGCAGAGGAAGTCAGGAACTATGTATTAATTCATTGAGCGTTACTTTCTTTCCTAGGCTGTGAATGAGAGGAGGAGAGGGAGAGAGAGAGAGAGAAAGGAAGGAAGAAGGAAGGAAGGAAGGAAGGAAGGAAGGAAGGAAGGAAGGACAGCAAAAACTTCACTGAAGTCACCAATCAATTGCTTTTTTTGTGATTTCGAATTTTTAAGTTTCTGTTAAATCCTATACACAAATAATCCATCTGAACAGGGCATTTGCAAGTAAAAGTGGATCTACATAGAACTACCAATATGATACCAGTGCCAGCAACTGCGCTAAAACATTCCTGCACTGAAGGGAGTAGAGTTGTATGAGAAGGTAGTTTCTTTCTTTTTTTTTTTTTTAATTTGCAAAACTTAGGCCTTAGCTAGGTAGACTCTCAACTATCTAGCCTAAGTTAACCCGTTCACCTTGCCTCACCCAGCTTTATGGTCAGCTATCCTCCCAGGTACACGAACCCGTCTGTCTTCCTCCATGTCACCTGGCAAAAAGACTTTTCTATGTTTTCTTCCCAGAGTTCCTTTCTCCCTACCAGGAAGCCCTGCCTTCCACTTCCTGTCAAGAAGGCTCATCAGACAGTTCCTAAGAGAATAAGTCCTTCCTAAAAATCTTTTCTCTAAAGTTTAAATCGAGAGCTCCACATTATTTAAAGCCTACCAAAACCTCACTCCACAGCATGATAGCAGTCTTACTTATAATCAGAAACACCAAAGAAAGCTTTATGAGGAATTTGTTCACACACATGAAGTTCTCAAAGTGACTTGGCCAGCCCAAAAAGTTCAAGAAGTAACATTTATTTGAAAGCACCACCCATATGGGCCTTCTTTTTCCTGAATGTCCAGCGAACACCTATAGACATCAAGAGTCTCTGATTATCTTCCACTTCAGATATGGACCAACAGGAAAGTTCTTCTTCCTAAAACATCATTTTGATCACATCATTAACATCTTTAAATTTCTGTCATCCCCAACATTTAAGAAAAAAAGCAATGTAAATCTTCCATCCCCACCCCAGCCCCCTATTAGCTTACCATAAACTCTAATTCAACAAGTGTGTATTAAACAACACATGGAGGAGGAGGGGAAGGAGGGAGTAGGTATTATCTATACTTTAAGAGATAGTTAATGACAGATCTAGCAAAAATAGGTAGATTTATAACGAAGTGCTAAAGGAGGAGCTCAGGAACCAGGGAGTTCATACAAATTCCTCCCATCCCGCCCACATTTTGTGTTCCATCAAGGAACAGCTCAAAACCTGTCACACGCTGACGTTCCTAGTCACATGATCTTCTCCTTCACGTCTAAATATTTACTAAAATCTGTATCTTTAATGACTACTTTCCTGGGTCCCCAGAATTCTAGTCATGCTATATGGTTAGTATGCAGGTAGCCTTCACAGATATAGAGCTGGAGTCATTTTCATGATAGATTTTTCTTCTTGCATCTTTTACATCTTTCGCACATGATTTTCTTCTCTCGCTCATTATAAATTCCTTATGAGGAGGGCTTATTCGCATAATTTTATTTGCTTTTTCCCTTGTGAACTAGTAGAAGAAACTGCAAACGTTTCATCCACTAGATAACTATGAATGCAGCGGTCCTCCTGCAATGGCTCCCAGGTCACCTGGCCTGGTGCAGCAGAGCTGCTACATTATGAACTAACAGAACAGGGATAATCTTGGAAGAGAAATCAAGTAGAGGTAGTAGGGCGAAAATAGAGAGAGTTTTTGTCTTCGCTTGCTCAACTTCTTCTTTCCCTTTCAAAATCTAAGAGATGTTCTTGATTTTTTTTAAGGATTTATTTATTTATATTATGTTTATGAGTGCTCTATCTGCATGTACACCTGCATAACAGAAGAAGGCATCAGATCTCAGTATAGATACTGGTGAACCGTCATGCTGCTGCTGGAACTTGAATTCAGGATCTCTTGTGGAGCAACCAGTGCTCTATACCACTGAGCCATCTCCCCAGCCCAGATGTTCTTGTTTTTAATAGTCCTTTTCTTTATTTAATTGAATCTGGATTATGGAACAAGAAACGCTGAATGGGATGTGCCGAAGGGAGGGAGAAGGCACAAAAGAAGTAGCAACCTTTCTGGCTTGAGACTTCGCAGAGGTGGAAGATTGGCATTAAGAACATTCAAGGCAATTATGAAGTATAAGGGAACTGGGCCAGGCCTGAGTGAGGTCAGAGTCTTTTGGGAAATATTAAACTGGTTATAAACTGGACCACATTCACTGGGTTTTGAGAGATAAAGTAAAGACTGGCATATGACTTTTGATTTCAGCATGATGCCTCCCTCACCTGTGAAGGGGCAGAACACCTAAAGCATATATATATATATATATATATATATATATAAAAGCATATATATATATAAAAGCATATATATATATAAGCATATATATATATATTAAAGCGTGTGTGTGTGTGTGTGTGTGTGTGTGTGTGTGTGTGTACACGTGTGTAATCTATGCCGGAAATACAGGCTCACACACCTTGGGTAACATCAGTTTCTAACTCATTTCTGCTTCGTGGGGGCTGTATAGAGTTTTTCTACTAAAAAACACTGCACAGGCTCAATCTGCCAGGGAAAGAGGAAGCAGAGATGAAAGCTTTTCTCTCCTCACCAAGCCCCCAAAACAGGCACTGGGCACTGAGCATCCACACAGAGTGGCCAACCTTTGTTATATCAACTAAACATGGTACCATCTCCCAATTAATACAAATTTTCATAAGATTGGCATAACCCTTAATCCAAATTCACTTTTCATTTTTCTAATGACTGAAATTAACAAGCTTAGAAAAATAGCCTCTTCCAATGTTTGGACCTTACTATTAGAATAGTTTTTTTTTCCTAATTGGTGAGCCAAGACCCACTCTGTAAAATTTCTTCTCTTTGGTCTTTATCCTAACTTCTGTACTATATTACAAACTCTCAGCTTCGAGCCCAATTCATTCAGCACTACAATTTCTGAAAACAGTTCTTTGCTGTTTTTTTTTTCCTATGAGCTGTTAATTTCCTAATTACCGTGATACATGTAAGTCAACTGCAGTCCTG